TAAGGGGGTGGTTGCACACAGTATTAAGGAAGTGGTTGCTCACAGTGCTAAGGGGGTGGTTGCACCCAGTGTTAAGGGGGTGGTTACTCACAGTGTTAAGGGAGTGGTTGCTCACAGTGTTAAGGGGGTGGTTGCTCACAGTGTTAATGGGGTGGTTGCACCCAGTGTTAAGGGGGTGGTTGCTCACAGTGTTAAAGGGGTGGTTGCACCCAGTGTTAAGGGGGTGGTTGCACCCAGTGTTAAGGGGGTGGTTGCTGTTTCATGTTGCACTGGGCTATATATCTGACGCACACGCCACCTGTACCCGGGTCATACAGGTGCAAAATAGAACATGAATGCCTAGGTACTTACAAGAGACTACCTGCTCTACCAAGTTTCAGTAGGTGCAACATGCTCTACCGAGGTTTAGTAGGTACTATATAATAGCTTTGCCTGCACTAGGGATTATGTTCGCATTCCGACTGCTTGTCAAGCCAGCGCACAAACATATGATAGGCAAACACGGATAAGTATGCAGATGTCTTCGAAGATCTCGACTGTGTCTTCGGCATAGAACCTTGGATAACCCCATCCCACCACTATATATCCCGGTATATTACACCCGGTCTGGATCCTACCTGCGAACACAAACAGCCCAAGTCATGCACCTGTCAACCCAATAAACGTATACGCGCGTGGGGTGCTGGCGTTTGATAGCGAGCCCAAACTAAGCGTTCAAGTTGTCACATACCGCTGACAAAGCATATGATTTGAGGCCAAGATGAAGCTTCTTCTTCGAGAAGGTGCCAATGCATCCTCGTAGGCGCTTATCTGATCCGTGTACGATTTTCCATGTTACAAACAGTGGACTGGAGAAGAATGCAATCAAAAGCAGATGCAATGTGAAGTATGGATAGAATAGCTCTATAATTTGAATCGGGGTTTGCGAGATGATCTTCAAGCTGACAGAAAAGGTTAGGTACTCGACAAAGCCATACACTGCCAAATCAGCTTATACTAATTATACGTGTAGTTGGTGGAGGATTCAACACGAATGAAGGCCCTCTAAACGACAACATCAAAATTAAACGAAACTAACATCCGTCAATAAAGGACAATCGAAGAGTAAGGAGCGCACATACGTATATATATATATATATATATATATAACATATCAGTAAGAAAGTAGCGTCCCGCGATAACCCTGTGTCACAGCGTGTGGTGTGCTTTGTAATGTTTTATAGATTGTTAATACGTATACAGTCTGTAAGCCTAGACTATTGGCGTGGTTATAAAAACAAACTGAACTGATTGTCAATCCCACCCTAGCATATTAGTTGAACTTCAAGGCAATGGCACATTAAACGGGGAGTTCGAAAGCATATACCACCAACAGCATCAGCCTACCAGCACCAGCCTTCTGCAGTAGAGGAACTAGGTCTGTGGACGTGCAGGGTGTCTACACAGGACCACAAGATCAGATTTTGGGTTTTACGACTTACAAGCTATCGTTTTGAAATCGAGGCTCCACGGGAAATTGGCTGCTATGCAGCGACGCATTCAGCACGTCGAAGCAGTACATACACATCTCCGGCGTGACAAACTTGTTCACTTCAAGGGTTGACATCTCGATGCGACGCACAACGTGTGGTTGTTGACTCAGGTTATCTAAAAGTTGGTGATAAGCTCGATACAGCAGTCAAAGCAATGATATAGAACTTACACAATTCAATCCAGCACTATTGTTAACAGAGCTCCATGTAGCGCACGCTCTTCTAACACCAAGCGACCCACAACGCAACTGAAATTACATATAATCCAGACTACTAACTTTATATTGACGTACGTGACTATATGACTATATAGTAAATAAATACATAGATCACTATTTTTTAATGAATATCCAGTTTTGGTGTCTTTTAATTGGTCGCTTGAGTTGGCTCTATGACTAAAAATGATAAAAAAGGTAATGATCAGACTCTCAAAGGTTTTATGAAGAATAAACTATGAATTTGGAACCCTATTTCAACTGAGATTTGTCTTGTGATTGTGAACTCCGCAATATCTTCGGATGCGCAGGTTCGAGTCCTGCACCTGTCATAGAATTTGCAGGTTGGCCGAGTGGTCTAAGGCGTTGTGTTTAGGAAACAATTTTTTTCTATTCGTTTTGAAACATCGTATTTATGTCTCATCATACGAATAAAAACCCCAACATACACATAAAACATTTGATAATAATGTAACTGAATCGGAAGCAACTATATGTCAGTTATATGTCAGTTAAATACAATTACTACAAATTTTGGAAATGGTGGGGGGTTTTTTCCCAGTTCGAGGTTGTATCACCACTACTTCGGTCGATATGGTATCATAATGATGTATATTGAAATCAACTGGTACTAATCGGCACAGAATTCAGACACTATTGTTGGTGCTGTTGGTTTCTTAAGGACTATTAAATTTCAAGTTATCTCCCTATCTTGCTTGATGAAATTATAGGTGGAAGCAACAACCGCAGAAATATATGGGCACTGACTGTGAAGGGTACAGTTTCTAGTGGCTATGCGTGTAGTCAGGAGCCAAAAAACATTCTATGGTGCATTATTTTGTACGTTACGAGGTATGAAATGCAACAAGTCTCAGTAGTCAATGTACGAGATATCAATATAGCTTCTAAATCCGAGCTAGATTTCTAAACGCTGTCAAGAAGTGGTCATCATCGTAGTTTTCGTGTATCTAGTTCCGATCCAAAAAAATACACGAGTTCTAAAATATACCCGTCTAACCAAATAAATTTGGGCGAAGGCCGCAGAAGTTGTTTCTAATTTCCTAATCTCCTACTTGCACAGAGAGCCCGTTTGTATCTGATACGCGAGAAATCTCGTTACTACACAAAAGTTATTTTACAGCGTACACGCAGCGCTTGGCGCTTCGCGAGCTGGAGAGCCTGTAGAACGAAAGTTGCGGCATATCTAATATTTCTGATACGAGCCAATCTTTAGCTCTTTAGGCTCTTCATCAAAATATACTTGCAGAGATGCAGTGCTAGGCGTTCATAGTATGTAACTAAATTGTTGAACTATCTAGATCCACGTATTAATCCACATTGGTGCACTCGTATGACATCCTTTTTAAATATCGTTATTATAATCCATGATATCCGGTGGTTCGAATACATCTGGGAAAAGGTACGCGAGTATCACATCCAGTAATATGTATATTAGGTGGTGGTTCAGCGGCTCATGTTGCAGCATTTGGTGTGTCGTGCTCAAGCCGTTCTTTAAAGTTGCAGGTCCCAACACTAGCTTCAACACCCCTGAAATTTCCCCAGGGATTCAATACAAGAGTAAACCAAAGATTTAGTGTTAAAAAGTATAGACGGATATGAACCTACGCGTCGAGACCGAGTGAGGCACGCAAGGTTGTAACTTTTACCTTTCTTCAACTCGCATGGTATGTATATATTCGCAGACATCGAGTGAACAACAAAAATCAAGCCAGCATGCATCTTAGCCAATATACGAGTTCTGCTACAAAATTTCGACGAGCTGGATTCACTAACCGAAGTAAAAAACACAAGGCAGAAAGTATCACTCTCACTCACCAGGCATGGCCTCCTGAAGTAATCGCTTGGAGTCTGTTCTGAGGGCTGCCATTTCGTCCTCAGTCAAAGTAGGCGCTGGCTCGCCGGTGAACAGTTTGAGGCTAATGAGGTCGATAGTGTCGCAGAGACGGGCGGGTTCCAATTCCGAGCCCACTATCAGCCATATTAACCTGGAATTAGAAATAGAAGAATAATATTAGGAACTGAAACTCCAAACTGGGGAGGCCAAAAGTGTCGAGGAGACAGGTGAATTCCCAATTGCGAGGCCAAAAAAGAATAAAGTTGAAAACACTGCGATTTGTTTTATGTTATCTTCTGCAGTCATTAGCTTCACAGCTCTTTTGTATAATACACCCATATTGTGTGCTCAGTGTGTATCCATACATGTATAGTACACCATAGCGTCATATTGTGATCTTTGCCAAAGTAAGCTATGTACGTACAAGCGCTTTAAATTGCAGATTCAGAATCATCCACAAAAATGTTCTGCATTGGCATCTATGGCTATTTATATAACGGATATTCAGTTACAAAATGCTCAGTTACAAAATCGCATACCGGGTACCCAGAGTATCCACAACCGGTGACCAAAATGATTCTATAAATAGCAACGGTTGCCGTATCCAGGGCTTACGCCAGGCGGGTCTAAAAGCCGATCTCATCAGGGATATAATCGACCCCATGGCCCAATTGTGCAGGACACCCGAGTTCTGGAAGAGGAGCATTAGACGACAAGTGAGTATCGATTACTATCACCTACAAAGAAGGCGACAACTTTGTACCTCGAACGCCCGAGCATGTTAAACTTCATGACAGATTGTGACCAGCCACATAGCACCTTAAAGGGCACTTAGGGACAGTCAATCATGCACCAGAAAATATGCTGTTCCACGCTCACAATCACGAACTTACTTGAAAGTAGTTTCTCCTGAACATGGCTCTTTGCATGTACATACATATGTAGCAAATCCTTCAGCCGGCAGATACTGAGTGAGCACAATGTAACAATTGTATCAGGTGCAAGCACACATACATACCGTGGCATCGGGCACGGGACCAGCCATGTCGTTATGAGCACCGAACAGTTCATCGCTCCTGTGAGTGTGAGCGGTAGCCTCCAGTATTACACTCTTTCGCTTTGGTTTCTTGGTCCACGTGCCATCGCCGTCCTTGCCTAGACCTACCACCACAAACCCGTCCTCGTCGTCATCATGGTATGTGGGCGAGTACACTGCATCGGCCCCAGAAGTATTGGGGCCATATTTACCTATTTGTGGGCCTTTTAAAGGGCCTGTGGTCATCTGCGGTCTCTCTAGGGGAGGTGGCGTAGCCGGCACCGGAATCAGTACTGGAGGAGGCGATGACAGGTCACTCAGCTTCTTGGTTGCCTTACTGTGGCGCTTGGGAGATTCCACCGCTTTGCAAGAGCTTCGGCTGTCGCTTCGGAGCGTGATCCCAAACACATCATGGTCGTCTATGGTGGAGGATACTGTGCGAGTCTGTGCGAGGGAGCTGGGCCTGGGACTCGATGCCGTGCGCGTGCGCTGGGTTTGGGTGGCCGTAGTAGTTGTAGTAGCAGTAGTGGCCTGTGTTTCTGTGTTTGCATTATAGTTGCTGGCTGTGTTTGTTGACAAGGGTCCTAGGCGGTCTACGAGTGCCGTGTGTCTCATGCCCGAGGATACGGGCGAGAGCGGTCGGTTGAGGTCGGACTGGGAAGAGATCATACTATAGCTTTCGCTGGTGAGACTGAGTTTGGAGAGAAACTTCTCACCACGGTCATCACGGTCACTACGGTCGGCGTCGAATTGGTCGGGCTCTAGATCACTGCAAGAGGTCCTGTGCGAGAAGTCGGTTGGTGGCGGGTGCGGGGTACCCATGCTCTGTAAGGTTATTGCATTAGGACGAGACTCGGATTAGAGGTAGATATGCAATTGGGAGGATAGGAGACAGTTAGTATAGAGCAGAAAGTAAGATTTGTGAAATAGAGAGACTACTAGGTTGTAGACAACTGTATGGCTAGTAAAGTACAGACAGGTTGAGTGCAGGCAAGATGTGCGGTTAAAAAAACAACGCAACTTTCGGTGCAGAAAGCTAGGAAGGCAGAAAGACACTAAAGCCCAGAGCGAAAAAAAGATAAAGGGGTATGTAATTACAGAATAGAGCTAGTGGCGTCATCAAGTCATACTAGGATGCAGAGCCTGCATAAAAATTTGACGAATGTATTGGTTGTTTTGAAACACTCAGTGGTTATAGTTGAATCAGATTGATTAAAAAAAAATCTATCTCGTTGATACCGCACAATCCATAGGCTTGATCACTCGAGCTCAGAGCCGCAACCGTCTAATTTACAGTGATATCTGTTCGCAAGGCCGCCTCCGGTACAAAACTGTTTATGCGATTAAGCGAGGCTGAAACTCTGCTAATATACCTGCGCCTGAAATCCCAATACCCGACCAAACGGGCCTATACCTACACCATCAAACACCTGCAACTAAACTACCAAACACCTGCAACCAAGCGACACTATCTCACAAAACAGGCCTCACACTGCACATACCTGCATGGGAGGAGTATTCGATGCCGTATGCGATTCAAACAGCGGATGCGGTGACAGCTCCACCGGGTCGCCTATTTTCAGCGCCATCTTCAGAAGCGACAGGTCTTGCTTCGGGGTGAGAAACATACGCAGCGCGGGTACCGAGCACGCCGCTGGATGGGCCAACGCACTACTGAGAAGGTGCTGCAGCCCAGCCATGCGTTTGATGATGAAGGTGTTCTTGGTGTTGTCCTTGAGAGAGTGTTTGCCGGGGAGGACGAGGGAGGACTCCCACGTGGGGTTGCTCTGGCGGATCATCTTGTACAGGCGGCGAAATTCACTGTGGCGGTCGGTATGAAAGCGAAAGCCGAAAGTTTGTTTGTATAAATACATATCAAAGTAGATATAAAGATATATGGACGCAGATGTACATAAGTGAATCGCATGGTTGCGAAGTGTTGCGCTTTTGATCAGAGACACCGCAGATGCCCACATAATCAAGTCAGTATACAAGCATCAGAACATATTCGGAGAAAACATATATTCAGAATGAATGATTATTCAGAGAAGCGAAATAAAACCCAACTATGCTACTTAGCCGTGTCCGCCTATTACATATCGGCACGCGATACATTTCTGCATGATACACATATGTGCACAAATCAGAAATCATTCATCACCAGCAGCAGCCGCTTACATTATCTATTCGCATATATCACATCTAATTTCAACCCTCCATCCTGGCCATACTACATTGTAGCACTTCTTAGCCGATCAATACCCCAGGTTAGTTACCATAAAACTAGCCTAGACTCCAGAGCAGATACATTTTCTTTTAACTTTCAATTCCATCCCGTCCGTGTTACAACAGAGCACTTCTTACGGCATTTAACGCACCTGTACCGTCGGCCGACCACCCACACGCGCGACCCTTTGGCCGACAACACGCCATCTGCAGCCATAGAGTCCACACACTCTTCCAGGCGGATCACATATAGGATATAAGGTGTCTTGGTATGCACCAGATAGGCGTTGCATATATTCGCCTTCCACCCCCCGGCGACCAGTTCACACTTCCACGGCGGCTGTTTGCTGCTTGTATTGGGAAAGCCCTCTAGAGCCGCTTCCTCTAACAGATTCTTCAGGGGTATCTTCTCATCCGCCTGCAGCACGCGCTCGTTCACATTCATCCCAGACATCTCTCTGCTGATCTCTGTGCGCATGTCCCAGTCCTTGTTATCCTTGTACGACCCGTATCGAGCGACGCGTACGGCATTGTTGACTGTGGGGCTATCTTCCATAGTGTTGGCCCGCCTGCGTGCAACGGTGTCACCAACGATGCTTCCTGCGCGTGTGCGGGAGATAGCGGACGGCTCCCAAAGTTCGGAGGTGCTCATGGAATCGATGGGCATTGTGAAGGTGTTGGTCTGTGGCGTTGGTTAAAGAGGTGGGGAGATGTGGTACTTGAGCGATGAGATGCGATCATTCCGGCGATTGTGCTTGAATGACAACACATTTACGCGCACACTCATCAAGCACAGGTATCGTTCCACATACTATAATACGCAGACCCTACCCGGCACACCACCTCTTGCACTCACCCGGTACGAGTGCAAACGCAACGCATTAAAACAGCGTCTGGTTCACGCTATGGGCAGGAGACTGAGTATCCCTTGCGCTCTACTCTGAGTACAGCCGCAAACAAGACCACCTGTACAACCCATACACGAATACATCGCAGCTGGCTGCTCATATACACAGCCAAATAGCCAACCAATCATGACCCACTCATACACGAATACATCGCAGCTGGCTGCTCATATACACAGCCAAATATCCAACCAATCATGACCCACTCATACACGAACTCGCACACACACCCGATACGAGGCCGACAGTGACTCGTCAAACAGCTTCCGGTTCACGCGATGGGCCGGGGACTGTCTCTTCCGTGCGCCGGTACTCAGTGCACACGCCCACATCAGATCACTCTGCAGGAATCCTGGCAGGTAGTCGGTCTGCAGCTTGAAGTACACACGGTCCCTCACGACTAGAAGTGCGGAGAAACGGCCGCCATGGGGAACTCTGTGGCTACCGGTGACGCCGTTGCGGCGTTGGTAGCCGGGCTCATGCCTGTCTGTGCGAGCGTGTATGCCTGTTGAGGGTAATAAGTGATCATTTGTTAGCGGTTTGATGTATTGAAGTGATAAGGTACATGAGTACATCTAGAGTATCAGAGAAAGTGGGTTGTACGCTCAAGAAACGGAATTGAATGCGGGGAAACCAGTGACTGCAGCCTATCTCGATACGGAAAAAACAGCCGGTCAAGGAAATGCCTGCGCGAGTGCGTATGTCATGGGTCAGTGATGCGAGATTGATGGTGATGTAAGCAGAGGAGGATATAGGTTCGACTGAAAGTACACACACAAACACACACACACACACACACACATACACACATACACACAT